TGAGCTGACTCTTATTTAATGCCAAACACAAAAATTAAGCTCAACATGGATCAAACACTTAAATGTAAGAGCCAAAATTAAACCTACAAGGAGAAAACATGAGAAAATGCTTCATGGTGGTGGACTTGGCAGTGACTTCTTCAATATGACAGCACAGGCACAAGCAATAAGAGATACTAACAGGTAAGGTGGACTCACAGAAATTAAGATTTTTGTGCAAAGGACAGACAGTATCAACAGAGTCAGAGGGCAGTCCAGGAATATGGGACAAAACACATGCAAGTCACATGGCTGGTAAATGGTTAATATCCATAATATATAAAGAACTCCTACAACTCAACAAAATAAGAACTCATAAATGCACAAAGGATTTGACTAGACACTCTCCGAGAGGAGACACAGCAAATGCCCAAGAATATGAAAAAATGCTCAAAGGCATTTCCCTAATCATCAGGGAAATGCAAATCAAAGCCACAGTGAGATACCGCTTCTCACCCATTGAGAATGGCTATTTCTTAAAAATAAATGAGGATGTAGAGAATTTAGAACTCAAGTGCACTGCTGATGGACGGGTACAACAGAGCAGTCAATGTGGAAAACTTAATTCCTCAAAAAAGTCCACTGAGTTAGGCTGTGACCAGCAGGTCCACTTCTGGGTCTGTATCAGAGAGAAGTAAGGGCCTCCAGCAGTCATGTGCACACTCAGGCACAGCAGCATTATTCAGCATAACCAAAAGGAGGGGAAAAAATCCAAGTGTCTACTGGCAGATGAATAAAACGTGATATATTCATACGACAGAGGATCATTCAGCCTTTAAAAGAAGGAAACTGACACATGCAACAATGTGGACGAACCCTAAAGACCCATGGCAAGGGAAACAAGCCAATCACAGAATACTGAGACCGCACTTGTGCAAGGTATGCAGAGCAGTCAAAGTCACAGAGACAAAGAGGCTAAAGAGGCGAAAGAGGAGGAATGGAGAGTTGGTGTTTAAAAGACGGAGTTTAGTGGTGATTAATAAAAACACCTGCAGATAGTTGATGCTGACACTGCACAACAACATGCACATAGTTAATGCCACAGGTCTACATGCCTAGGCTGGTCATACCCAAAACCCCAGCATTCAGGAGGCAAAGATGGGAGGATGAGGAGTCTCAGGCCAGCCTGGGTCTCAGACAGACCTTATCAAAAAAAGAAAATGATTAAAATGATAAATGTTATGTTAAATATATTTTACCATGATTTGTGTGTGTGTGTGTGGTGCTGGGGATTGAATCCAGGGCGTCAGAGATGCTAGGCAAGCATCCTAACACTGAGAAATACCCTCCAACCCTACCATTTGAAAAAAAAAAGTGCTGTATCAGGGTTAAACTTTCTGAATTTAATAACTTAGGTCGTGCAAGGAAACATCCCAGTTCTCAAGAATCCCGACTGAACTACTAAGAGGCAGAGTGGTATGTTGTATGGCATCTATTCTCAATGGCTAAGAATTATTTTGAGGCTGAGGCACAGTGGCTTTCACCCAGCTATCTAGAAAGTGGCAATCTAGAGGACTGAGGTTTGAGGCCACCTGTGCAAAAAGTTAGCAAGGCCCCATCTCAACAAATAAGCCAGGCATGATGGTTCAAGCCTGTAATCCCAGCCACGTGGGAGGTGTAGAAAGGGAGACTGAAGTCTAAGACCAGCCCCGGGCAAAACTGTGGGGCCTTATCTGAAGGAAAAAATTTTCCTATGACTAAAGGAAAAAAGGCTGGGAATATGGATCAAGCAGTAGAGTACCTGCCTTGCAAGCACAAGGCCCTGAATTCACTCCCCACTACTGCAAAAAACAACAAAAAACAACCACCAACCAAATTTATTCTCATTTGAAATGTCAAAAAAAAATTATTAAAAATGTAAAATCACATATCATAGTGGGAGAAGATGATGTAACATAATTAATAAAGGGCATACATTCAGATTATGCAAAGAACTTGAAAAAATAAATTTGAAAAACAATCCTAGCCAGGCACTGGTGTCTCACACCTATAATCCTAGCTACTCCAGAGATCAGGAGGATCACGCTTCAAAGCCAGCGCAGGCAAACAGTTTGTGAGACCCTATCTAAAACACACATCACAAAAAAAGGGCTGGTGGAGTAGCTCAACATGTAGGCCCTTAGTTTAAGCCCTAGTACCATGAAAACATGAGCTGGGTGCTGGTGGCTCATGCCTGTAATTCTAGCTACTTAGGAGAAAGATCAGGAGGATTGACATTTAAGGCCAGCCCAGGCAAACAGCTCTTACCTCAAAAATACCCAGCACAAACACACACACACACACACACACACACACACACACACACACACACACACACACACACACACACACACACACAAAAGAAAACAGGGCTGGTGGAGTAGTTCAAGCGTTAGAGCACCTGCCTGGCAAGCATGAAGCCCTGAGTTCAAACCCCAGTACTGGAAAAAAAAAAAAAACCCATGAAGCAAAACAAATAAAAAAAATTACCACAAAAGTTGAGAAAATAATTGTTTGCAGGTTGGAGGCAGAAATGACTAGGAGGAAAGGGGTTGGTAGTGTAGCCAGGTGATAGAGGGAGCATTTAGCATTTGCGATGTTCTGGGTTCAATCACCAGTTTAAAAAAGAAAAAGAAAAAATCAGGAAGGGACGTGAGACCAGGGCTCCAGCTGTCTCGACTCAGCATCATTTACAATTATGATTTACTTGTGATTTATAATTGTTGCTAAACCGTGCTCATTTTATGCTTTTTCCTAGGTTTTGTTTGATTTTTTGGGACTTCCTGGGTTTAAACTCAGGACTGTACTTGAGAAATGGATTTGTGAATTATTAGCACATAAGCCAATATATGAAGTTGTCAAAGGAACAAGAAAAGAGAAGAAGAGAGAAAGCAGGAGTGTGGTGCCCTAGTGTGTCAGAAAGACCACATGCTGAGGACGGTCTGCTGGGCCTAGCAATGAGGAACTGCTGGCGCCTTTGATACCAGTGGTTGTTATCAGTGACCCTGAAGAGAAAACCGTCTCTTTCATCATAAACTAAGTGCCCACTATACTTAGATCAATTTCTCAATTCTGTCCTGTCTCATGGTCTTTGTGTCCACTTGTTTACAAGTTAAACAGGTATGGTAGATTTATAACATATTTTGGCATCTGGTTGACTGGCCCCCCATTATACTTCACAGACTAAGGATTGAAATCAGGGCCTCATGCATGCTAGGCAGGTAGTTTACTACTTAGCTATACCCAACTCCTTTTTAACTTTATTTTCAGAAAGGGTTCCACTAAGTTTCCCAGATTGATTTAAATTTGTAATCCACCTGTCTCCATCTCCTGAATTGCTGGGATTATAGATGTGTACCACCAGGCCTGGCAGAATGTTTATTCTTACATATTTCTTCCTTCCTTATAATTGACCTGCCTAGTACTTTTAAAAAGATGCTGTTAGCATTTTCATTGCATTTCCATTAAATATTTAACATGGAATATTTAAGATATAGAATGGTTAAGACTTAACAGTTAGTTGCAGAGGACAGGAATACAGTTATTAACTAAAGTTTTTTGAGTGAAGGATGGGAATGCTTCAGATAAAAAGCAGAATGAGAAGGAAAAAACAGTGGCGGAGAAGCTCCAGCACTTGGAGTCTGTGTGGGATAGTGTAAACTGCCAATGGAAACCCAGGCAAGGATAGCCAAACACATGATAGGAAAGGCCAGAGACAGCAGAGAGGCATCACAGGAAAACAACCGTGCTGATAGACTGAGGAAGATGAATGTTAAGCAGTGTTTACAGTGACATGGAAGTCACATGTTTAGTGGACTGGAGACAGAGCTAAATTGACATGTTAAAGACAGGAAGGCAAAATTAGTGCAAGACCTACAGGGGGATGAAAACTAGGGCAAGGTTCTTGTTTCTGTTTTTGTGTTTTTTTTGAGACAGGGTCTTACTAAGTAATCCAGGCCTCAGGAACCTCTACTCATCACGGCAGGAAGGAGGAGAGAACTCAGATCGCACCAGCTAGGGGTGCACATGAAGACTTAGTGGGCAAAGGTGGGGGAACTATGCTTTGTCCATGAGGTGAGGGGTGCGGTCATTTTAATTTAAAACTCGTCCTGTCATGAACACTTAGGTTGCTTTCAATCTGTCGTTAGGAACAGAACAGTTGGGTCATAGGGTAAGCACTTTTGAAACTTCTGAACTACCTTGAGAAAAAAGAAGTTTACCAATTACATTCCCTCTGGAAAGGGGCTCTCACACTGAGAGCATTACTTCCCTCCCAAATCCTTCTGTCATGGTATTTATTGCTCATTTTTGTTAACTTGTTAAAGAGAAAAAGGTTGATTTTTTTAAACTATCAAATTAAGGATAATAAGTTCAAGATTTTCATTTAAAATATCTTTCCATTCAAGTCATACAATAAAGAGGGCTGGGAATATGGCTAAAGTGGTACAGCACCTGTCTAGCAAGAGTGAGGCCCTGAGTTCAAACCCCAGCACCACCAACAGATGGTCATGCAATAAAGTCATGTAATAAAATGAAGCTGGAGATCAGATTTATTTGTGACCATTACAAAAACATGGCATAAAATGGCAAAGAGTTGAAGAAATAAATTTGGGATGTCAGAAACAACTTCCTAATAAAACAGATTATAGGAAAACCTCCCATGAGAAGCCTCTTGAATAGGAGTCTGTTAGCGGCCATCATCTCAGCAGAGGACAGGATCCTTTGATTACTTGAAACCCATTTGCAATTCAGATCAACAAGTAAAATCACCCCCAAACGCAGCACACAAGTACCTTCTGCAATTGAACCCCACCACCTACAAATTTCCTGCCAAAGCCTTCCCTCCACTAAGACCTTATCACTCCACTAAACGTCAATAAGAACACAGATAACAACCTGGATCTGGGTAAGGAATTATTTTTATTGTAGATAGGAGGTGCCAGGCTCTCAAAGGACACCAGAAACAGGTCCTTCTTTCTTACCTTCACCATAAACGTGAAGTCTGTGAGGGCCGGAGAGTAGACCGCCCCACCTGCACACGGGCCCATAATCAGAGAGATCTGAGGTATGACACCAGATGCTGTGACGTTCCTCTGCCAGGAGAGAAAGGCAAAGACATCCGGTTACAGAGGTTATAAAGGCAACAATAAAATAACATTTGGCTTTACTGCCACAGAAAATCTACTGAGGAGGCAAGAGACTGATCGGGAAAGTTCTTCCAGAATTCCATGTGTAGTTTCTCCCCCTAACTGGTGGGACGGCCAGCATATGATTTCTGTCCTCTCTTTCTGGGCAGCAGCTCCCCAATGCCTCTACCAGGACATGAGCTACAGCGTCGCACCACCCTTAGCCAGCTCCAAACATCTGCAACCCAGCACCCTGGTCCGCACAGAGCCACCTGAAAGAAGAGTTCTCCCTCTTTTCAGTGTTGAGAGCCAACACTTAACCTAGACCGTAACCTCTATGCTCAACCTTCCACAAAGGAGGTGCCACTTTCTGCTGAGTCTTCATTATCTGCCCATCCCCAGACAGGGCATGTCAGAGAGAGGGAGGCAGAGCTAGAGAAGTTCAGGAAGGACAAGGGTGGTGTGAAGAGCCAACCTCAGGCCACCTCCTGATAAAAACAGAATCTGGAGGTTTGAGGACCAGTCACTCCTGGCCCTACCTCTCACCCCTTTCCTTCTCCTGATCCCCATCAGCTTAGGAAAAGCAAGTGAGCTTTCTTACCTGCCCTGGCTCTGAGTCTAACCTCTGTAAGTCATGGCACACAGCTAATTACAATGCAAAAAGTCATCTACATTCTGCAAAAACAAAGTAGGTGAGTAAATTCCCAGCTATGGCAGAGTAAAGAATTTGAAAATTCTCTCCCACAAAAACAACTATAAAACTGAACAAAATTGTTAACAAATATTGAAGGCTCTGAAAGTAGACTACCGGCAAACCAACTATGAAGTGTTTATTCATAAAAATGTGAACTTAGACAAGGTCAGTGAGAGTCTGTGGCATTCAGAACCAAGGCTATGCTAGTGCCCATGCCGCTCAGGACATCTTTCAAGGAAAAAGGAAATAATGCCAGACAGTAGTTCAAATCCATAAGAGGCAATTAAGAGCACTGAAAATGATAAACATGTGATTAAGTATAAAATACTGCATAAATACACTCCTCTTTTCCTAATACTTTAAAATATAAGAATGTATAAAGCAATGATTGTAACAATGTATTTTTGACTTGTAACATATACATGTATATATATATATATATATACACATATATAATACGTATACATATATACACGCACGTATATGGGAATAATAACACAAGGGAGAGAAAGAAAAATGGAGCTACACTGAAGCAAAGTTCCTATCTTTTACCAGAATTAAGATAGTATTAACTTAGGGCTGGCACATGGCTCAAATGGTAGAATGCCTGCAAGGCACCAAGTTCAAACCCCAGTACTGCCAATTAGAAAAAAGTATTAACTTGAAGTAGACTGTGATAAGATATATATCGTAACTTTAAAGCAACCACTAAAAATATAACTAAAATAATACAGTTTTTTTTTTTAAATTAGGAAATTAACCAGACATGATGGCTCATGCCTGTCCTCCCAACACTCCGGAGGCTGAGGCAGGAGGATAGTGAGTTTGAAGTCAGCAAATGGGCAACATAGTGAGACCCTGTCATTTTGCTCTGGTTATTCTGGGGGCACTTGAACTATTTGCCCAGGCTGGCCTCAAACCTTGATACTCCCAATCCCAGCCTCTCAAGTAACTAGGATTATAGGAATGAGCCAGTGGTACCCAGCAGTGTTTTGTTCTGGGTATGGTTTTGTTATTGTTGTTGTTTTGAGATGGAGGGGATGTCTTGCTATGTTGCCTAGGCTAATCTCAAACTTGTGGACTTAGCAGATCCTCCTGCCTCAGCCTCCTGAATAGCTGCAACTACAGGCATGCACTTCCATGCCCAAATTAATATAGAAGAATTGAATGACATCACAGAAGATGGAAAGGAATCTGGAACAGAAGTACTCAGCTGGCAAGGACTGTCGGAAGCAATAATTTTGGAAGTCTGCAGTCTAGTTAAACACTTGCAGAACCTAGAGAAAAGCATGATGAAGAAGCAGGTCAATATCAGCGAATTTCTGCATTTGGTGTAGCTGTTACAATTCTGCAACCCACAGCCCTTGAAAGGTAACCATGAGGATGGAAACTCAAGTTCTTGGGTAGCTAGCTGGTGCCAGGCAAGCTATAAAAGACCTTTTCCTCCAAAGAAGAAGGTTGTATGTTTTTTGGTTTGGTTTTGGTTTTTGTTTTTTGGTACTAGGGGATGAGGCCCGGGCCTCAAGAGCACTATCCCACTGGAGCATGCCCCTACCCCTTGTTTTGTTTTGAGACAAGGTCTCACTAAGCAGCCCAGGCTGGCCTCAAACTCACAATCAACCTCCCTCAGCCTCCATAGTGCTGAGATTACAGGTGTGTACCACCATGTCTGGCTTTGTTCATTTCTGAGGTGCTGGGGAATCAAACTAAAGGCCATACATACTAGGCAAGCACTCTCCCCCTGAGATATATCCCCAGAGTTGTGTTGTGATTGCTGATCACTGCTTTTGATGGCTGAGGGGGCAGTACAGAGACTGGCCACTATTTCAACTCTGATGGCTCAAACAGCTGCCCTGTCATAAGGGGACAGAGTTTGTTCCCGCCCTATGGACCCTACAAGACACAGACATTTAAAGATACCTTTATCATCACTGGTTGGCTTCACTAAACTTTCAGCAACCATATCAGCAAGGAATACACACTTGGCAAAAGAAGTTTGGAAAGGTCTCAAATGAATTCAACAAGCAAATAAATCAACAAATCAGTACTTCTTGAAGAGAACTGGATTTCAAAAGTTACCAAATATAACACTCTGAATTTCCAGTCCTCAACCAAAACAATTAGAAATCAGGCAAAGAAACAAGCAAGTATGGCCCAATCACAGGGAAAAATAACATGACAGAACCTACATCTGAGGAGAACCAGACATTGGCTGTTGTCTAAAGTATTTTCAACGAGCTAAGGAAAACTATAGAAAGAGAACAAGGAAATGAGGAAAACAACACCTGAACAAAATGAGAATACCGCAAAGACACAAAGGAGCCAAAGCAGAAGTTCAATATATAATTGAAATAAAACATTCATTAAAAGGGTCCAGTTGCAGATGTGCCCAGACAGAAGAAAGGATCAGAAAACTTGAAGGTAAAACTATTGAAATTATCCAGTACGAGAACCAGAAAAAGAAAAAAAAGAAATGAACGAAGCCTGAAGAACCTGTGAAAAAACATCAACTACACCAACATACACATTATAGGAATCCCAGAAGAAAGAGAAAGGGTCAAGTAAAATATTTGAAGACATATTAGCCCCAAATTCCCCAAGTTTGACTATACATGTGAATATTCACATCCACACAGCTCAGTGAACTCCAAGTAGGACAGACTCAAGGACATGGGTACCAAGACCCATTGTAGTTAAACTGTCACAACCCAAACATGAGAAAAAACAGAAGCAGCAAAACAAAAGCAATTCTCACACACAAGGGATCGTCAATAAGATTCACCATGGGGGTCGGAAGGGTAGGGGGAGACACAGTCAAAGTACTGAAAGAAAAAGCTGTCAATCAAGAATTCTATACCCAGCAAAGCTACTTTTCAAGAGTGCCGGAAAAACATCACATTTCCAAAAAACAAAGGCTGGGAAAGTTAATTTGCAGTTGACATGTCATGCACAAAATCTACAGGGAGCTCTTTAGTCTAAAATAAGAAGGACGCTAGACAGTAATATGAAGCTATGAAAAAAACACTAATATAACTTTCTAGGCAAATATAAAAGAGGGTAGTGTTGTACTTTGGTTTAGAATGTCTCTATTTTTCCTATATGATTTAGAAAACAAATACATGAAACAATTCTAAATTCATTAATGAGAGTATCATGTATTAAGACAGAATCTATGATAATGACAACATAAGGGAGGGAGGATGGAGGTAAAAGAAAATACATGACAATTGTATGACAATAAATTAAGTAACAAATGAAATGGACGAATTCCTACAAAGACACAAACTATGAAGCTGAGTTAAAACAGCAGAATATCTGATAAATCTATAACGAAAAGAAACATATTAACTAAAAAACTACCTACAAAAAAAGCCAAGGCCCTAGATGGTTTCACTGGTGAATTTTACTAAATACTTAAAGAATTACAGGATGGATGTAGCTCAGTGGTACAGCATGTGCTTAGCATGCCCAAAGCCCTGAGTTTAATCCACAGCCCCAGGCCCAGCAAGAACTAAATACTTTACAAGCTTTTCCACATAGAAGAAGAGATGGCAGGACAGCTCTGCATAGTTTTAGAACAACCCATTCTCCCCTCACTGCAGTTCTCAAGAATTATCGCAGAATGTGCTGTGAATGCCACATCCTCAGATTCATAGGGTCAGACCAGAATAGCCATGTCCTTCCACACTTCAGGCCAGCACATCACATGGCCCCAGAGGATAAAACTCAGGCTGGCTGCTTTGTAGGCCCCTCAGTGGTGGTGTAAGTGGTGCACATGCCACAAAGACTCCACCCAACCCGGGCAACTTTCCTGTGCCTTGGGGACTGGTTCTCAGTGAGTCCTAGGCTTCCACTGTCCCTTGCTGCCTATCAGTAGGTAATAAATCCACTTCATGTGACTTGTGTGTTTTGTCTTACTGGACTCAGTCAAGTTGGCAACCGATGCATCGCAAACCTTCCTCAGAGGCAACATCTGTAACTCATTCTGTGGGTGAGAATTAGTCTATACCACAACCAAAAGAAAACATCACAAGGTACTGCAGACTAGTATCTCCTCCTAATATGCATATAAAGGTCCTTCTTCCATATAGGGAGCTGAAAATGCTTCTTTTACATTTCTCCCTCTTTTATCCCATTACACTATAATAAAACCTCATCAAAATACTAGCAAACAGAACAAGAAGAAACTTGTAAAGTCAATTATACACCATGACTAAATGTGATTTATCACAGAAACATTCAAAACTCAGTACAATTACTATACCTCATCATTAGCATAAGGAATGAGAGCCAGATCACTATCTCAAAGGTGCAGGAAAAGCATTTGACAAAATTACAACATACCTCTAGGATAAAATACTCAATAAACTACACAAAGAAAGGAACTTCCTCAACCTGGGAAAGGGCATCTATAAAAACTAAACCAGCTGACATCACATTTCACAGTGAGCGAATGAATGCTTCCCCACTAAGATCTCACCACTTCTACTCAAAATTGAATTGTAGGTTCTACACAGATCAATGAACAAGAAAAATAAAAGGCACCCATATTAGAAAAAACAAGTAAATCTTTTTGCCAAAGACATCATGCAGGTAGGAAACCTTAAGGAATATACAAACAGAGAAACTCCATTAGAGCCAAGTGGCTGGGGTGTAGGTGACAGCGAAGCATGTGCTTAGCATGTCCAAGATCCTGGGTTCAATCTGCAGCACCAAAAAACAAACAAACAAAAAACCCCAAACTAATAAACAAGTTCAGCAAGGCTGCAGGATATAAGACTCATATATAAACATCAATTTTACCTCTAAGTAGTTGCAAAGAACAAAACTGAATTCCATTTACAACAGCATCAAAAAGAATCAAACACCTGGGCACAGTGGCTCTCACCTGGAAACCCAGCCACTCAGAAGGCAGAGATAGGATCATGGTTTGAGGCCAGCCCATCTCAACTAATAGCTGGGTTTGGTGGTACATATCTGTCATCCCAACTATGTGGGTAGCACAAACAGGAGGATGGTGATCTAGGCCAGCCAGCATAACTGAGCACAAACATGAGACCCAATCCCAAAAATAACTAAAGCAAAATGGGCTGGAAGTTTGGCTCAAGTCGTAGAGCACCTGCACAAGCAAGTGAAAGGCCCCAATTTCAACCCCAGTACCACCAACAAATAATAAGTAAAATACCTGTGTAAACAAAAGAAGTGCAAGACAAACATACTGCAAGTTAAATAGTGCTGAGAAATTAACACGACCTACATGAATAGAGAAACATTCCATCCACGTGGAGAAGACTCAATGGACTAAGATGTAAACTCTTAACAGGGAGCCAGTGGCTCACATCTGTATTCCAACTACTTGGGAGGCTGAGATCAGGAGGACTGCTGCTCGAGGCCAGCCTGGGCAAATAGTTCATGGAAACCCCACCTTCAAAAAAAATAAGCAGAGCAAGCTGGTGGAGTGGCTCAAGTGGTAGAGCACCTGCTTAGATAGCATGAGGCCCTTAGTTCAAAATCCAGTACTGCAAAAAAATAACTAGAGCAAAATGGACTGGAGGTGCAGATCAAGCAGTACAGTGCCTGCTTTGCAAGGGTGAAGTCCTGAGTTCGAGTCCCAATTCCACAAAAAGAAAATGTAAATTCTTATCAAACCCATTGATAGAGTCAATATAGTTCCTATCATATCTCAGATATATAGTGTTTACAACAGTTCCAAAAATTCATATGGGAACACAAAGGACCCAGAGTAGTCAGAATAACTTTTTAAAAAGAACCATCAAGTTGGAGGACTTTACCCAGCTTCAAAGCCACTACAAGGTAATAACAATCAAGCGAATGTGGTTCTAGTCTAAGCATACATACACAGATCAATGAAAAAATTGAGAGCCCAGAAACAAATTGACATTTACGATCAAAAAAAAAGTTTTACAAAGTGCCAAATGAGAGAAAAGTCCCATCAATAAACTGTGGCAAGTGGTAGGTGTGCAAGGCCCTGAATTCAAGCCCCAGTACCAACAATATAAATGAATTTAAAAAATGCTATGCAAGGATGAATTTAGGACTCGATGTCACATCATATGTCAAAATTAACTCAAAATAGATCACAGACTTAAAAGAGCCAAATCTACAAAATTCCATAAAGAAAACATTAGATAAGCCAGGTGCCAGTGGCTTATGCCTATAATCCTAACTACTCAAGAGGCAGAGATCAGGAGGATCCCAGTTCAAAGCCAGCACTGGTGCAAATAGTTCGAGAGACTTATCTTGAAAAAACCCATCACAAAAGGTCTGGTGGACTGGCTTAAGCAGTAAGAGTAACTGTAGTAAGGCCCTCAATTCAAACCCATGTCACAAAAAGAAAAAGGAAATCAGAAAAAATTATTATTTCATATTAGGAAGCATTTCTACATTATGATCCACATAAAAAACTGGTAAACTGGACTTCAAAATTAAAAACTTATACTGGCTCTTAACTGTCTCTCTCACCTTCATCCCAATCTCTCTTACTCTCTCACAATATACTTCATATTTCAAATGAAACCTTTTATTTCTTTTTGTTTCTTTCTCAGTCCATTAATAAGCAGAGAGATCACTGATATGATATTCACTAAGTATTTCTGAAAAGTGGGATTTGGAGCAATTTCTTTCTTTGTACTACTACTTGAACTCTATATAATGATCCTGTAATATTTTCTACCAAAAGCTAAAAAGAGCATTGTACTTTAAAAAAAAAAAAAAAGATCTTATTGGGCTTAGTTCTCTAAGCCCAATATTCTTCAAATCTCCATTAACAGGTTTCTCACCAGGAAGATGTCTGCGTAGCCAGCCAAGGACTCCACCCCCTCTTGGATCCGAGCTCCCCCAGAGTCATTCAGCCCAATCACTGGAGCCCCAGCTACCATAGCCTGGTCCATAATCTGGGAGAACAGAGAAACCTCTTATGAGAAAACACTCTTGTTATCAAAAACATCCTCCTTACAGCACCTAGGTCTAGCAAGGTTTTGTCTGGAGTTAGTTTGGTTTGGGCAGTACTGAGGATGGAGCCCAGGGTCTTACACAAACCAGGGTCTTGCAATGCTCTACCACTGAGCTATAACCCCAGTCTGGTAGCGGTGTTTTTAATACTATGAGGCAATCTTTGTACTGCTCTTTATCTTTTAGCACCTGTACTCTTTTGCTAGACCGGGAGTTCTTTACCTAGGGTCCTCAGAATCCCAAGGGTGGTGGTCAACAAATTTCAGGGAGTTTATGAAAACTTGGATTGGAAAAAATTTACATCTTTGCTAACTCTAGCTGAATGTAGGCAAAAAAAAACCACAGTAGTGTTGGGGTATGCAGCTCTTTGGTAGAGTTCTTGTCTAGTATGTATGAAGACCTGGGTTCAATCCCCAGTACCACAAATGTATAACTATCATAGCACACTATTTTTTGAAAAAGTACCTATGACTTTGTCACTAATAGAAACCAGTTATTTTTATGTCACATGAAATTTGTTGCAAAGAACCTGAAATATTCTCACTCAAGCCTACTCTGGAATATACCAATTATTAGACCAATGGCTAAATCTTCTATTGAATGCATTAATATGGAATCACGTATATTACAAATGTGTATTCAAATACCTTTAGTTCTTTGTAATCTTACATTTTATTTTATGCATGGAAAATGTAAGAGTCAAGGGTTCACCAGGGTCAAAGAGATTCATGAAACAAAAATATACAAAGAAATATGTTGCTGGGTGCTGGTATTTCATGCCTGTAAGCTTAGCTACCTGGGAGGTAAAGATCAGGAGAATCACAGTTCAAAGCCAGCCCTGGAAAATAGTTCAAGAGACCCCATCTTGAAAAAAACCCATCACAAAAAAGGGCTGGTAGAGTGGCTCAAGTGGTATTGCGCATGCCTGGCAAGTGTGAGGCCCTGAGTTCAAGCCTCACTACCACCAAAAAAGAAAGAAACATGCTAAGAAGCCCTTTGAGTCAGTACATCTTGCACAATTCTGCTCTATCCCAAGTATCCAGCTCAGTGTACTATATCCCCAAAATACTCAATACGTACCATATAACTGATAAAATTATTGGGTTTTATTTTCAACAGTAAACACTTACTTTGCAGATCTTTTGGGCATGTGCCCCAGACAGACTTCCTCCAAAAACTGTAAAATCCTAAAATGAAAACACAATGAAATCAACCAGTAAAATACAGTGACTTGGCTAGACAAAGCAGAAAACTCATTTTTAAAGGAGCTTCAAAAGTTGAATAAAATAGAAAAAAGTTGGGTTTATGAATTATTCCATAGAATGGTGAATAAAGTATCTTAAAGATAGCTTCTGTATGATCAAGAGCAAAAGGCTTAGCATTTGCTCTAAAAAATCATTTTAGCTCTGAGGAAATCATTTACGCAGGATTAGCCTATTATCAGATTCCATGGATGCCAAACAAGCATTTCCATATCTAGGAAATATTTGTTTTCTGACAAATAGGAAGGAAAAAGGGGGAACCAGAATCCTCATGGCACAGCTCCCTCCGTTGTCAAGACAGTGGGGCAGATGGTGGGCTGGTACTGCAATCCCAGCTCATAACTATGAGGGAAGTAGAGATTGGAAGGGTCATGGGTCAAGGCTAGCCAGAGCAAACAGTTAGAGAACCCATCTAAACCAACAAATTGGGCATAGAGGTGCACACTTATGATCCCAGCTACTCCAGAGGCATATAGGTAGGAAGATCAAGGTCCAGGCCAGCCCAAACAAAAACATGAAACCCTACCCAAAAAATAAACCTAAAGCAAAAGGAGCTGGGAACATGGCTTAAGGAGCACAGCACCAACCTAATAAGCACAAGGCCCTGAGTTCAAACTCCAGTATTGCCAAAATAAAAACAGTGGAGAATTAAGACAAAAGCAGAGGGCCTGAGGGAAACTGGAAGCACACCACCAGCACCTGACCTTGAGGGGGCACCAGGAAGCCTCCCCTCCTGCAGAGACCAGGCGTGTAGGGCCAAACAGGCAACAAGTACGTGGTGGTATAAGAAAAATGATCTTCTCTATCAAAGTATATGTCACCCACTCACTTAAAATTCCTCAGGTCGCCATCTTAGGTGACTCACATTGTTTAAAGAGTTCCTGTTTCTTCTTCTGGATTCTTGTACAGCCCCAACTGCCCATGAAAGCTGCCCACCAAATTGAGTGCCCTAACCCATCCCCCAAGCTTTTTAGTCAACCAAGTAAGACTGTGAACTTTGACCTAGCCAAATCCCAGGTAAGGGGCAGGTACAACTGCTTCAGGGAAATAAGGAGAAGTCACTGTCAGCCATTGTGTGTTCACATGTCTGCTGAGCTGGAATGAATACGTGCTTGCACCCTTTTGATCAAAAGAAATTGCCTTGTCAGAGGGGCTCTGAGTTAGAAGCAGACCTCAGAGGGCCTCAATTACCTTGAGAGGAGGAAGAGGGCTTATTCACTAAAGAAACTTAGCCAGAGGCATCTGAACTCACAATCACCAGCCTAAAGGAAGACAAAGGTGAGAATGCAAACAGGTGACACTAAGAGAAGCCTGTATACTGAATGAGCTGGGGCTGGCCCCTTCTGCCTTCCCCTCCCTGTACAACACACCATCAGCCAATCATCAGACAAGGGTATGAGGTCACTTCCTGGGAAAACAAACTCACCAGAATCACCACCTGTAAGACCATAACAAAGAGCTGGCTCATCACTCCCCATGCTCACTACCTTGCAGGGCAGATTTCAAATTCCCATTTTCCCTAATGCCTTCCTCAAACCCAAATACTCTCTTCCCTTGTCCTGAGTCCACAGCATCTGCGTGGAACTGGTCTTGCCCTGTCTGTGCTGCCCCATTCTACCTACCAAATGATGTGCTTCTTGATGAGCAAGAAACAGCTCAGTTACCTCACTCCACTTACCCCAGGGGCAAAGAGCTACTCCAAAGTGTCTATTCTATCTACTTCTGTATCTGCTTAGGTAGGTAGGCAAAACCCATGTCCAGAAAACACAGTAGTGTTCTTTGTCCTATCTTTTCAATGTATCCTTCTGTATGAGTTTTTTCCTAGCCCTTATAAATTGCCAAAAGAGCCTGTCTCAAGTTTGAGGCCAGCCTGGACAATATATATTGAAATATATATATATATATATATATATTTTTTTTTTTTGGGATGGGACTGGGATTTGAATTCAGGGCTTCATACTTGCAAAGTAGGTACTCTACCACCTGATCTGTGCCTCTAGTCCAAAAAAAAATTTTTTTAATTGAAAAAAAAATATGATTCCTTCTAGTTCAGCATTTGGCAGACCCATTTATAATAGTTTTATAACATTTCAAAGGTAATTCAATTAGCAAAGAAGTACAATAAATTTAAAATTAACCAAGCATTAACTATTGTAATATCAAATCCAGAAATCATTCTAGGTTCCTAGGCAAGCTACATAACTTTAGATCTGCAAAAGAAACTACACATTTAGAATTACATACACATTTCTACCTGTGGAGGGGAAAACAATTTAAGTCTAAACTAGTATACAACATTCTGTTGTATTTCTATTGCTGCTACAACAAATTTACACAAATTCAAGGACTTCAAACAAGTTTATTATCTCATAAATAGTTCTGTGGTTTAAAGTCCTACAGAGGCCTCGATGGGCTAAAACCGAGGTTGACAGAGCTGTGCTCCTCTCTAGAGGCTCCAGGGGGAATCTGTTTTCTTACCTTTCCAGCTTCTAGAAACCATTCCCATTCCATCACTCACAAACTTCTGACCCTCCATCTTCAAAGATAGCTAAACACAGGTCAAGTCCTTGTTCTAACATCTCCTCCTTCTAACCTCTTCTGGTTCCCTCCTCCACTTTTAAGGTCCACCTAGATAACCCAGGTCAATCTATCCTAATGTCATCAGTTCCTATGTCACAGGTTCCAGTGAGTAGGATTTGGGGGAGTGGGGATTATTCTACCTCTAACAATCTCTTAAAGTTTCAGCATGAAGAAACTGTATCTGTGTTGACAGAGTCTGACAGAATGTGACTGAACACTTTCATGAGAGCCCAAAGCCCAGGCCTATGAATGTGCGCGTCAAGTCCCCTTTGCCCAGGCTGCATTGGCTGCACTCCCTTAAATCCACGGACAGTCCCCAGGACGTGAATGTCCTCCAGGCACATACCCAGCACTGCCAAGAGGACTCTCACTCATGTGGAGTAAAGTCCCGGTTCCTGGAACAACGTCATATGAATCCACTGCCCTGTGGTCCTCCAAAAACAGACTGAGGACTCTTCCTTCCTGAGAAGGAAACAGCATAATACTCTAGACATGTTGGTGTCTAGACATATTGGTATGAAGCAAATCTTTCATCTGCCTCAAACTGTAAGCAACGTTTCATTCCCTGAAATTGTTTTCCTTGACATAGTTTGCTCTTGGCTCTACCCTATAGGAAAGTCCAGTCTACAAAGGTTATGAAATACCTGACTGAAGACATAAACCAATCTTCCACTGATTCGGCCCCGTCCAGTGACCACGCTGTCTCCAGGAAACTACCAGAGAAATAGAAAAATAAAGGTTAAAAAAAAAAAAAACCAATTACTCTTTTAATGAATTTGGTAGTTATACCTTAAAGACAAACACACACACACACACACACACACACACACCCCACACCCCAAATTCCTTTATGTGAATAAAGAACACAAAAGAATCCCACCCTGGCTCTGCACAGCAAGCACTGGACTACTGGACTATGGTTCTATCAACAGGAGTGAAGGACACAGTGGTCTTAGGCCTCATCTTCTATATTTTTCCTTCCTTCCTAGGCCAAGGGTGGCTCAGGGGCAAAGCACTGGCCTAGCACGCATAAGGCCCTAAGTTTGATTCCCAGCACTACAGGGGAGGGAGACCTTCTATGGCCACCACTGCCACTCATGGGAAGGAGAAAGTCATAAAGAAAGATGGCACCAGGTGTGGTGGTACACACCTACAATAGCAGCACTTAGGAGGCTGAGGCCAGACGATTGTGTTCAGTACCAACTTGGGCTATACAGAGAGACCCTGTCTTACACACACACACAAACACACACACACACACACACACACACACAAAGGCAACATCTAAAAGGCCACACACACACCATCCCAAACCTTTAAAAGGCAAATCCAACATATTACATGGAAGCTCAGCAACCAGTGTGGCCTATGATAGCTCAAATGTCAAATGGAGTCAGTCAAGTTTACAAATCTGGTTACAAATAGTAAATGTGCAGAAAACTGGATGAAAACTGAGTCCAAAGAACTCCAGACTCATATGAAAAACACTCTGGTTTTGCTGACCTCAAAACTCAGAGGTACCAGGCATGGTGGTTCATGACTGTAATCCCAGGACTCAGAAGGCTGAGGCAGGAGGATTATAAATTCAGGGCAAGCCTGGGCTACATAGTAAGACCCTGTCAAAAAAAAAAAAAAAAAAAACCTCAGATTCATAAACAAGGTGTCAAAGAGGCAATTAGTTAGCATTTGGACTAGTGCCTAGTTCTCAGACCACGACTAAAAGACTAAAAGATCTTCCACCCAAATTTGTTAAGAACTAAACCCACAAATCAGAGTCCTGGGAACTGGGCCAAGCAATTCACCCACACTTCATCTGCAGACAAAGGTGAGGGCAAGGGAGAACCTGAAGTTCCCAGCAGTACTTCTCAGAGGACTTGAGAGAAAAGCTGTACAGACACATTACTCAAGTGGGAAGGCAGGAGAGCCATAGCTGGAAGGCATTCATATAGACATTTGAACAGATACCTTATTCTTATCAGCAGCCATTCCAAAGTCTGCACATCTGTGTTCCACAAACATGTCGCTCTCCACAAAGCTGCCAGGGTCCAGCAGGAGACTGATCCTCTCCCTAGCAGTTAGCTTTCCCTAAAACACAACAAGGATTCACTCGGTGCTGTCATCACAGAATAAGTTAGCAAGCAAAGTAAGTGGTGTTGGCTGGTAAGCCAGGAGAACAAGGTTTGATGCGAAAGTCTTCATTCTGGTTCTCCATTCTGTCTCACCTGCCCAAGGCAGACAGATGCTATTAACAGACTTTGTTTCAGACAGTGAGGAAAACAAGGTAGACAAAACACTGCAGGAGCCACCCAACTGTGGAAGGTAAGTAAGAAAAAAGGAGGAAAGGACGGAGAGAAGTGGCAGTAAGTTCAGACTGAACTTGACCCTAGAACAACATGAGTTACACAAACAATGGAGTACCTAAGGATCTGTAAAAAGAAGACTGGAGAAGCAGAAAGTGAAAAACTAAAGCAGGCTTAATAAGGGGTCTGAGGCTATACCCTCAGGTTTACAGGCTCCTTCTAGAGAAGCCTACAGAAGTACACCTTGCCAGGCCCAACCCCTCCCTCCTGCGCCCAGCTCTCACCCCAAGGCACACTACTTCCTATTTCTCTTTTCCCTTTACTAGCCTACAATGGGGGCCCTGCTTAGGGACTCCACTTCTGAAAGAGAGAAGACCCCACAGAAGGGAACTACTGAGTAAAAGGGGAATGGACAGAGTGCTAAAGAGCTTGTTTAAGAAGAGGAAAGGGGAGAGAGGGAGAGGAAAGGGAAAGAGGGAGGGCAGGAGGGAGGGAGGGAGGGAGGGAGGAAGGAAGGAAAGAGAGAAGGAAGGAAGGAAGGAAGGTTCTTAGACCTAAGATTAGAGTCTTCAATCTACCAAGAACCTCCACTACTTGGACAACCACAACCTCAACCCTAGCCAAACCTCAACCCTGGCCCACTGTGCCTCTCCCACCAAAACAAAACAAAACAAAAAACCCTCAAAGTGGTTATTTCCCCCCCCTTAGACAAGTAGCCAAAGCCAGAGAGGTTATGTTAAAAACATCAGGCAATCCAATACACTGCTGTGTAAAGCAGAGTAAGTTTGGGGGAAAGTAATTTCCCCAAAGCAATATATATATATATATATATACAGTATATATACAGAGGTTTTTGAGTATTTATACTCTGACGCACTAAATCTACTTCTAAGAAATCTGTCCTATGGAAATTGTCCAAAAAATTGTTTTAAAGGGGTAGAAGTTTGTCCCCTGACTAAATCAGCTTTGGCAAAAGAAAATCAACTCTGGAGACTGCATGGAAATCCACCAGGATAGGCCTGGGAAGGGATGTGCCAATGTTTCCAGAAGGAATTGAGCAACAGGCCAAAGCAAAACGTGAAAGGCCCCTCCAGAAGATAATCTAATGGTCCCCATCCTCAGAGCGGCCCCAGGGGAGGGAGGAAAAGCATTCCGGGTACCACAAATCAACCAAAATTGCAGTTCACTTCCAAGTGTCCAAAAGAAAGTTACCCTCCGGCCTTTATCAAATGTGAACCTGAGACATCTGAACCAACACGTGACTGGCAATTCAGCAAGGGCCGCCCAAAGGCCAGAGGCGCCCGGCCCTGCCCAGTCACTCCCCAACACCGGGGTAACGCTGGGTGCCGTTCCCCGGGGGGCTCTCCCTCCCTGCGGCCACGGAACTCAGCCGGCCCCTCAGGCCCCTCAGGCCCCTCGACTCGCCCACCGCTCAGGGAGGCAGCGAGGAACAAGCCTGGTTTCAGGTCGGGGGTCGCCTCTCGCTCAGCCTCCGTTTCTTCTGCTGCCCACGGCCCACAGAGGCGAGGCCGCGAGGACCTTGGCTGTGGACTCCCAGAATGGCCACCTGCTCGCAAGCTCAGGAGGCTGACCTGGCCTGCTGCTGCTGCCAACCCACAAGGTCAAGCGAGTTTGACCAAGTTACTCCCCCACCACACGCCTCAGTTCCCGTTTTCCATCCTGGGGAAAGAACCGTCCCCACTCTTCCTTTTCTTTTATTCACCACTCTTTCTGAAACACCTTTTTAAAAAGTCTCTTTTTTAGACTATTCTCTTCATTCTTTAATTAGATCTCCTGTTTAAGATAAATTAATTCCTTAGAGATAGCTGTGTAGCGCGATAGCCCAGGAGGGCCGCCTTCAGTCGCAAGGCAAGGGGCCCCGTGACAAGGCGCTTGGCCTCCCATCCCAGAAGCCACAGGTCCTCCAGGTGCGCGTTCTCGCCGCGCCCCTCCAGGCAAGGCGCTGATTGGCTGGGAGGCCTCAGGCGCCGGGAGCCAGGAGCGCTGTGATAGGTCACCGGGGGGGGGCGGAGCCCGTTCAACCCCCTCACCCCCAGGACTTACTCGCTGATGCTGCGCCTCGATGCGGCGCTGGCCTCCTCCCAGCAGGGCGGTGCGGCGTTTGTGCTCGATGCGCTCGCTGACAGAGACCGGCTGGCTACTGAGGCTGCGGACCGTGCTGCGGAAGCCACCAGCTCGAACGCCGAGCCCTGCTCCGCCCGCCACCAGCCGCACTGCCGCCGCCATCTTTGCTCGGCGGGCGTGCCCCAACCGGCGCACTGAAGCACGCTCCTGCGTAAAGCGTGTGTACCGCGAGGTGTGCGCCTGCGCAGCGTGGGCGGCACGCGGGAAGCAGGTGGCCTGAGCTCCAGGCTTCTTGCCAGGGCTGATCTCGAACTGCCAACCTCCTGATCTCTTCCTCCAGAGATGCTAGGATTCCAGGCGTGAGCCATCTATGCTCGCCACCGTAGCTTTGTTGTCTCCCTGCAGGAAATGAGTAGGTAGTAAAGTTTACGAGCATTTACTGTACGCTGTGCTAAATGTTGCTCTTTGCCCTAACCAGTACTTTATATCTTGATTTCACAGATGAAGTGAAGCACAAAGAGGTGGAATGGTTTAATGTGGAGCCATGACTGAAGATGTGGTAGAGCCAGGATTGAAACTCAGAGGCACCTGTGTGCCAGGGATTGCACTCAGGACCCTTAGCTCTAGTGATTGGGTTTCCGTTAAAGAAAGATTATTCATGGCACTTGTTAGAGGATGATAAAGCAAAGCTTTGTTCAGGACCCTTTGGTAGTGTAAGGATCACTGCAATAGGGTTTTCAACTAGAGGAGAGAGATTGAGAATTCCAGACAAGGAGGGGGGCTTGTCAGTGGATGGAAAATCACTAAGAGGGAACATCAGGAGCAAGGGGAAATCTGACTAAATTTATCTAACAACAGTCTTTTTAATTTTTATTATATTCATATGTGCATACAATGTTTGGGTCATTTCTCCTCCCTTCCCCCCACCCCCTCCTTTATCTCCCCTCCACCCCCTCACTACCTGGCAGAAATTATTTTGCCCTTATCTCTAATTGTGTTGAAGAGAGAGTATAAGCAATAATAGGAAAGAACAAGGGTTTTTGCTGGTTGAGATAAGGATAGCTATACAGGGAGTTGACTCACATTAATTTCCTGTGCGTGTGTGTTATCTTCTAGGTTAATTCTTTTTGACCTAACCTTTTCTCTAGTTCCTGGTCCCCTTTTCCCATTGGCCTCAGTTGCTTTTAAGGTATCTGCTTTAGTTTCTCTGCATTGAGGGCAACAAATGCTAGCTAATTTTTTAGGTGTCTTACCTATCCTCACCCCTCCCTTGTGTGCTCTCGCTTTTATCATGTGCTCAAAGTCCAATCCCCTTGTTGTGTTTGCCCTTGATCTAATGTCCACATATGAGGGAGAACATACGATTTTTGGTCTTTTGGGCCAGGCTAACCTCACTCAGAATGATGTTCTCCAATTCCATCCATTTACCAGAAAATGATAACATTTCGCTCTTCTTCATGGCTGCATAAAATTCCATTGTGTATAGATACGACATTTTCTTAATCCATTTGTCAGTGGTGGGGCATCTTGGCTGTTCCATAACTTGGCTATTGTGAATATCTAACAAGAGTCTTGCTGAAGGCAAGCCATGGTGCTCAGACAGCACCTGGGAGATGGTGCAGGATGCAGAACCTAATGGGATATGGAGGGTAATCAGGTATCAAGGATGGAGGATTCTGGCTGAACTGACTTAGCAGGAATCTTGCTAAAACAATTCAACAAGGGACCCAAAGTCAAGCCAATTCAAAAGAGAGCTCAATAGAGCCTGGCCAAAGTATGGTCAAGAAGAGAATCACCCAGGATGCTCAAACTCCACCCCAGTTCTACTGAGTCAGAAACTAGGGGTGGGGTCAGTGATTCTGTTTAGCAGATGATCTTTAATTCATTCTGATGCTTGCTAAAATTTAAGAACCACTTATCTAGGGGTTTGAAACTGAGCTGGTTGAGAGTTTGTTTGCCCAGCTAACAGGCAGGTCTTCAAGGCAAAGTACAAGGTGCAGATTTCTCATTCTTAGCCACAGAAAACTGCTGAAGTTGATCATTAACCCTTCCAAGATCAGCTCACAGCCAGGGCTTTAATAAATTAGATTCTGTCCTGAGACTTTAATGTCAATGAATTCATTTTAAACAAACGTTTTTTGAGTACCTATATGCCAAGAACTGAGTATCAGAATTTCCTGCAGTAGGAATTGTTCTAGATAAAAGGAGGGAGCGTTCAAGGCCTGAAGTCACCTGGCTAGACGAAGCCCATCTACCTCTGTCTGGCTCTATGGTAGATGCTGTTGGCCCTGCAGTTGGGTCCCTCACTAAACTGAGAGAGGCAGGCAAAAGGTTGGTCTTGAGAGAGAATGGGAAAATCTGAGAAATGCCAAGAGTGACCAGGAGAGTATCTATGAGAATGTAACTTCATGCCAGGGAACAGGAATGGTGTGAACAAAAACCTGACACAAATAGCCAGACTCGGTTTGCCCTCAGCTTTGGGGGGAAATAAGACTGGGAAAAGGATGATGGAATTAGATTATGAAGATTTTTGCCTTGTCCAGAATTAGGACTTTTGGGCTGGGGCAGTAAGATTCCCTTGTCCTACAGTTCTTTGTAGATTGTCTCCTGACGTACATCCCACACCACTGTTTGCTTAGTTCTCAAGGCCAGGCATTGTAGCTCAAGTCTGTAATCCTAGCTACTCAGGAGGCAGAGATTGGGAGGATTCTAATTTGAGGCCAGCCTGAGGAAAAAAAAAGTTCACAAGGCCCCATCTCAAGCAATAAAATCTGAGTGTGTAGCAAGTACCCATCATCCCAGCTACAAGGGAAGCATAAATGGAAGAATTGTGATCCAGACTCAGAGCATAAGGTGAGACCCTAATAAACAAAGCAATAAAGGTCCAGTGGAGTGGTTCGTGGTAGAGAGCCAGCCAAGCAAGCATGAGGCCCTGAGTTCAAACCCTCAGAACCACCAAAAATACAAATAGGCATTTGCACCTGGGTCTGAATATTTTCATCTACTCTTTCCTATACATGCTTTCAGACTCTGCTCAGGCATTATATTCTCCAGAGAGTCTATCCTGATCCTCCCCCTTTCTGGGCTCAGGTTAAGGGAGCAAGGAATTTCTCTTAAATTTAACCAGTGCTTAGTCAAAGTCAACACAGGAGGCCTTACTGAACCTAACTGTTCCCGCTAGCTAGTCCTCACTCCCTCCCCTGCCTCTTTCTCCTTGCATTAGTCTGTTTTACATTACTATAATGAAATGCCCAAGGCATATATTTTATAAAGAACTTTACTTTGGTTCACAGTTTTTTTTTTTTAGTTTTTTTTTAATTTTATTATTCATATGTGCATACAAGGCTTGGGTCATTTCTCCCCCCTGCCCCCACCCCCTCCCTTACCACCCACTCCACCCCCTCCCTCTCCCCCTACCCCCTCAATACCCAGCAGAAGCTATTTTGCCCTTATTTGTAATTTTGTTGTAGAGAGAGTATAAGCAATAATAGGAAGGAACAAGGGTTTTTGCTGGTTGAGATAAGGATAGCTATACAGGGCATTGACTCACATTAATTTCCTGTGCGTGTTACCTTCTAGGTTAATTCTTTTTGATCTCACCTTTTCTCTAGTTCCTGGTCCCCTTTTCCTGTTGGTCTCAGTTGCTTTTAAGGTATCTGCTTTAGTTTCTCTGCGGTAAGGGCAACAAATGCTAATTTTTTAGGTGTCTTACCTATCCTCACCCCTCCCTTGTGTGCTCTCCCTTTTATCATGTGCTCAAAGTCCAATCCCCTTGTTGTGTTTTGCCCTTGATCTAATGTCCGCATATGAGGGAGAACATACGATTTTTGGTCTTTTGGGCCAGGCTAACCTCACTCAGAATGATGTTGTCCAATTCCATCCATTTACCAGCGAATGATAACATTTCGTTCTTCTTCATGGCTGCATAAAGGTTCACAGTTTTAAAGGCTGGAAGTGTAAACAGCATGGTGCAGTTTCTTGTGAGGACGCCCATTGACTGTATCATATCATAGCAAGAGAAAAATGTATATCTGTGCATGGTCTCTCTCCCTCTCCCTAGAAAGTCACCATAATTCAATCATGGAGGCTCCACCCTAATGATTTTACCTAATCAGTTTCCAAAGGCCCAACCTCTAAACACCATAATCAAATTAAGTTTCTACCCTCTTAATATTATTAACATATGACTTGGGATTAAAGTCCTGTATGAGTGTGGGGAGACAAATCATATTCAAACCACAGCTCCCCTCATCCCCTTTTTCCTCCTCGCTGTCCTATGGGGCATTCCATATGTAGTTCTAGACATCTGTAATGTTATTCCTCTCACATCAGGTTAAGTCTCAACCTGGGGTGAATGAGATATGGGTAGGGTAGAAGGAGGGTCAAACTATCCAGGAATTGCCCTTTTGGTGTTATTTGAGTTATTTCTGCATTGTGAGACAGTCACTCTGATCTGTCTTTAGTTTTCTTGCTTTGTGAGACAATAAAGTTGAAAATTCCAGAATACCTGATTGCAAATCCTGCTCCCACGTGACTTCCTGGATAGCACAGCAAGAGGTGTTTTTGTTGTTTTAGTTTTTTTTTTTGGTGGGACTAGGATTTGAACTCAGGACTTCATGCTTATAAAGCAGGTGCTCTATGGTTTAAGCCACATCTCCAGCCTTGCCGCAAGAGTTTAAATTCTCTTCAGGGCCTCAGTCCTTTCTGTAAACGTGGAGAGGATAGTCTGTGAAACCTCTGCTCCGTCTGTGCTCTGACCTCTCACTCATAACATTATGATAAGGAAAGATCCCAGTTACTGGTGTCAAACCAGGGTAGTTCCTACTCTGCCAGTCACCTTTTTTTTTTTGTGGTACTGGGGTTTGAACTCAGTGCCTACACCTTGAGCCACTTCACCAGCCCCCTTTTCCTGTGATGGGTTTTTTGAGATAGGGTCTTGTGAACTATTTGCCCGGGCTGGCTTCAACCCGAAATCCTCCTGATCTCTGCCTCCTGAGTAGCTAGGGGGCCTTGTGCTTGCTAGGAAGGCACTTTACCACTTGAACCTTGGACAATTTAGCCTCAGTTTCCTCTTTTGTAACATGGGAGTAATAGTTTTACCTCAGAGACTTGTAAGGTTTAAATGTGAAGATATACGTGAAACATATAATACATTGCAAATGTGAAATGCTTGTTAATGGTAGCTAGTAGATTACTTAAATAGTTTTATTTATCCAAGACTTTCGTAAGCACTCCTTAGAGTGGAAGGAGAGCGGTGCAATTCATAGTTATTTGTTTACTTCCTTCCACAAGGAGGGTGGACAGGAGAGTGCAAATCTTGCTGCTGCCCTGACTTCCTGGATAACACAGGGTGGCATGTCAACATTTTCTGGCTATTCCAGCTTGGTCAGTGACTACTG